TATTTGTTGCTGAGACAAAATATCTGATGTTTAAGTTGGGAAAGGAAAGGTTTATTTTTTATAGTTTTTTTAAGTTTTAGTCAATATTGAGTTGGCTCCAAGGCAGGGTGGAATGGCGGGGCTGCAGTTTATGGTGGCAGCAAACAGCAAGGCGGAAACCAGCAAGAGAGAGAGAGAGATACACACACCTTTTTTGATCATTATATTGTATGTTGGCTCTACTACTAGGCGGGTGTAACACTGACACCATAAATCTAAGCGCTAGACAATGAACCAATCACAAATGAACAATGCAAGTGCATGAGTCCTGGGGGCCAATGACATTAAACCATGACAATTTACCCCTGGCCCCCAAAGACTTATGTACACCTTTTATATAAAAGACATTTAGTTTATCTCTGAGTTGTCAAAGTCTGAAAATTTTTAGCATTATTGAGAAGTCTAAGTCTCAAGTCTCTTTTGATATCTATGGCAAACTCTTAACTGTAACTCCCTGTATAAGTGAAAGTAGGTTCAACATATTTGAAATGTAAAGACACAAGATAAACATTACCATTTTAAAAGTTATAAACGGGAATATAAAGCATTTGAAACAAACCAAGTCTAACATCCAGGAGGGCAAACATTAAGTCTTAGAGTTTTATGGTCAGGATTTGAAGCAATTTGGTTGTAAACTCTAAAAGGTTTGGGTAATTTTAAGCTCATGGCACTTTTAGGGATTTTAGCTCTTGCAGCATTTCCTCTTAAACTCTCTCTGCTCACCTTTTGCAGCTTTTTTTGGGTGAGCCATGTTTTTGTTTTTTTTAAACTTTTGGGGTCTCCACTGCACCTTTGACTTTATATTATATTTATATCTTTATAAATTGCCCTCTCAGGGGCACATTGTTTGGCCTCTCAGGCCCTTTATAAGCAAGGTGGAAGCTGTTTTACCCTCAGACTTTGTGGGTTTTTTTTTTTTTTTTTTTTTTTTTTGGTATCTAAAATCAGCACCATGTGGATGCCACCAAGATTTGTTGTCAGCTGTACTAAACAGGCTGGTTTTTTTTGGGAGAGGGCTGGGCTCTGTTTATCGGATTGTAAGGAAAAGGTTTTTTATGTTGCCACCAATTTGGAACCTCATGTGGCTGTCACCAGTTTGGAACCTTATGTGGCTTCTGTTGTCATTTTGGAGCATGGTGCTCTAAAGCTTTTTTTTTTTTTTTTTTTTTTTTTTTGAGCAAATTATTTACTTTTGCAGTTTTGAAGTTGCAAAGGATGGAGATCACTGTTGCTTTGGGATGCCCCCTGGCCATCTTTTAAATTTTTTAGCAATAGAAGTCTCAGCTCTATCTTTATAATCTACAGCTTTACTAAAGTTTTTTTTGGCCAAACTTACAGCATTTTAAGTTATGCTATTGGGCTCTTTGCTCTTGATTTGCAACATATATCTGTCTAAAAGCCCCCAGCAATAGCCATGTCACAGCCTCAACATTTGACTGTCTTGGAATCTTTTTTTTTTTTTTTGGCTAGGTTAATCAGTCTATTGCCCTTAATCTCAATCTCAGGCAAAGTCTCTGGGCATGAGAAAAATGCAGACAAATTTTTTGCCAAGCCATAACGCACATTGTAAGGAGTCCAACAACCAATGCAGTCCTTTTTTATTAGCAGAAACCTCTCAAGCCTGCTTTTCACCATTAGGCTTTTTATCAGTCTTTTGGTCTCTTAAGCTCTGACCAGAATCTCTTTTCAGAACAGCCTACATTGCTTTAGCTCTATGCATCTAAACAACATGTCTGAACCTTTTTAAACTGCCCACAAGCCATTTTTAAAGCCTCTCAAAAAACATGGTCAGATATAGTCACAGAAATGACCCCACTCTTGGTACCAAATTTTGTCTTAGTTATTCTTTACTTATTGCTGAGACAAAATACCTGATGTCCAAAGTTGTAAAGGAAAGATTTATTTTTTATAGTTTTGGGAAATTTTAGGCTATGTTTAGTTGGCTCCAAGGCAAGGTGGCATGGTGGGGCCACAGTTTATGGCAGCTGCAAACCGCAAGGTGAAAACCAGCAAGAGAGAGAGACACACCTTTTCCCTGTCTTTACATTGTATGCTAGCTCCACCCCTAGGTGGGTGTAGCACTGGCACCATCAATGTAAGCACTAGACAATGAACCAATCACAATGCACAATGCAAACGCATGAGGCTTGGGGGCCACCAACATCAAACATGATGTATATTTATAGATTTACAAGATAGGCTTACAATGGCCACCTGCATAGGTGTGAAAAGAATGAAAGAGGGAAAAAGGGTCATCTGTGCACTGGAAATCTGAAGGATCCAGTCAAAAGTCAAAAGCCTGACACTCACTGTAGATTCCTGTAATAGTGCATATCAGCAAGCTAAACAGTCTGCTGAAAGACTGAAGAGTCTGAACTGGGAGCATGGAGATGGATGTCTGAAGGTGATGGTGAAGGGAGGAACTCCTCTGAAAAACCAGAAACAGGACCTTCTTTTCTTCCCTTTTCATTCGATCCAGGCTACAAGCCTATGGATTGGTGCCACCCACATCCTGGATGGGTCTTCCCTCTTCATCGACACCAGAACTATGCTAAGCCAATTAGTCTTATTCAAGTTGACACTACAGTTTAACTATCACATTGCCTATCAATTGTATGACACCTGTGTCATCTTTGGAAAGAGAACAGATTTCTTGCCTATATTTTCTTCTTCTCAGATCTTTGGCTTGGAGTGTAAGTGTTTTAATGTTTAAGGCATATTTAATGCACACTAATCCCTTTCCAAAGTTCTCAACCTTCTAATATCTCCAGATTTCCTTGTGGAAGAAGCTTATTTTCTCTTGACCATTAGCTGAATCAAGAAGATCACCAACCTGTCCCTATTAAGCAGCTAAGCAAGTGAGAGAGAGAGAGAGAGTATTCCTCTTCAGAGATGAGTTCCTAGGTGGGTCCAGCAATTGTCTAGTGCTATATGAACATCCTATGTTAGAGCATTGTCCTTGGCTCAGGGCATACCAGTGTGGAAATACACTCAGGGAATAAATTCTCTATAATCTGGCCATTGTAAGGAATTTGTTTGACTCCTTTGTGTGTTAAGCTGGGGAGGCAACAGTATAACCCTATACTAATACAGCATGTCAGTGGATAAAAATAACCTCAGAGAAAACCAAACCAAACCAAACCTCAGAGTTCAGTTACACTATTCTATAGAGGTTAGGACTCCTGAACAAGGCATTTTAGTTCAACTTCAGAGAATACTTACTTATATATATTTTATTTATACTCCTCCATATATTTGTTTTGATGTAAGGATTTTCACCTATGTGCAAAGGCATGTAAAAGAATGTTCATTAAAGCATTATTTTTGATATAGAAATATTGTAAATAATTAAAATGCCCATCGATAGGGTCATGGATAAACTGTAATCCAGTTCTCCAATGGAATGTCACCAAGAGATAAAATAACAAAATAAAGCCATACACATACATATAGATAAATTTCAAATAATGTTGAGATTTAAAAAGCAAATTGGATGCATAGGTATATCATTTAATTATGTTTTTAAATTTTAATTTTTGGTGATACATGTTAGCAATTCGTAATTACATTCATCCCAGGGAGCAGGTACATGTATGTAACACATCTTAATTCTTTTTATGTTCCTTTTCCTGACCTTCCTTTACCCCTCCCTCCATCTCTTGGTTCCTTCCCATTTGTAAAAATCTATTTTCCTGTTATATACATGCTTAATTAAAGGAAAAGCATGGATATAAATGATAAATATAAATTTCAGACAGATTTCTTTTCTTGGGGAAATAAAATTGGAGATGGATTCACAGGGAATTTCAACTGTATTTTCACTTTTCTGTTTTTCAGTATAGTGTTAGTTTTTTTAATCTATTGCTTTGGGGGTATGAAATTCTCCTTTTAACAATTTTATAAACAATGGACTCTGATTAAATAAAAAAACTTGCTATCCAGTGAGCTAGGTAAAGGATACTCAGAAATGCAGAGATGACAAAGTTACAGTCTTTTTCAAGCAAGTTCTGTGGCCTATCCCACCTTCAAAAGTAGTGTCTCTCAGACTTTACTATGCTTATTGTACAATGAGTATTTTACCTTCCTTTCGGCCATGATTCTTATTAATCTGGTCTGAGATTGGGAATGGGAGTTGGAATTTTTATCATACATACTAGTGATTCGGGTGGGGTTGGTCAGGATACCTTGAGAACCATCACAGAAGACAAACAGATCAGTCCTCAGGTGCCCTTGGATTTTCAGAATTTGCTACAGCCTCACCACAAATGGTGACCCACAGTTGAGAAGGGATCTAGTGATATCAGCACTAGGACTTCGTATATTTGCTAGTGATTATTGCTATTTCTTATGCAACATCCTTAAGCCTTTATGCTCTGTATGATATAGGCAGGGTGAGAGAGAATGTTAAGATGTAGTGGAGAAAGTTGTAAACAAGTCCTACACTTTTAAATAAATTATTGACATGGAATTAACAGTGAATTATATAAATAATTCCTTAGTATTAATGAGGATGGGGTGGAACTGTGTTGTATTTTCTTTTCCTCCACTAAGAAGTGCTTTAACCATATAAATAAATATAAAAAATGCAAAGATAACTCCCCCTTAATGCCACAACTGAAATACCAGCTATTTTTTTTACTTGTAAATTACCTGATATATTTGTGGCCTGAAATTGGCTGAGTAGGAGTGTTTACACCATCAAAAGTCGAAGAGTCTAACTCAGGGCCTATTTTTATTAATCCAGATTTATTTGCCCCATATTACTAGATAATTAGTGAGTCCATATGTCTATCTGTATCTGCATCTATTTCTATATTTAGATTTATTTGTCTATGTTCATATCATCTAAGATTTAGATGATGCTGTAATGCAGTTTTGATGTGCTTTATTTCTAACTTCCAGAATATTCTGAGTCCTTCTGAGAAACTAATGGGAATCCTCATTTTGTATATCCTATGTAGGGGGATCAAGGACCTCAAGGATTTCCAGGGCCAAAAGGTAACATAGGTCTTGGACTCCCAGGCCAAAAGGTGAGTGTTTCAGAATTTCAGAGAAATGTCTGGGCTACAGATCTTCAGTTTCATGTTGGCTTTGAAAGAGCTTCTACATATATATATATATATATATATATATATATATATATATACACACACATATATATATATATACATACACACATATACATATATGTGTCATGATTCTTACAGCTCTCAGAAGTCTATTTGGCAACGAATCCTCACACACTGCCTATTATACCTGTAAACACACTCATTTTTATAAAATCTCCTTTAAAAATTTTTAAAATCAGCTAATAGAGGAATAAATCTTTACAGTGTGTGTGCATGTGTTTGTGTGTGTGTACTGGTAAATTACTCAGTAGCTGAATTTTCCAAAGGCAGTGGGCTAATCACATGGCATCTCAAGATCTCTGCTTTGAGGTCTCTGGATCATCATAAATTATTTGTGTCAATAAGAACCCCAGGTCTTCAAGAAATATGACATACAAGTAAACCAAATTATAAAATGTTCTTACTTGACTTTGATGTTCACATTTTAAACTTCTTTTTACCATTTTCTAAAGGGAGAGCATGGAGAACAGGGTGATGTGGGAAAGAAAGGTGAAAAAGGGGAAATCGGAGAGCCTGGATCCACAGGAAAACAGGCAAGAAATAAAGCCTCTCTACTATGATTTTTGTATTCTACATAGTTATAAGCTCTATTAACTTTTACTCTTTGTCCACTACGTAGGGTTTACAAGGACCAAAAGGAGACCTGGGTCTTACAGTGAGTATCTATTGTAGGGGATAATTGAGAAGTTTGTGCTTACAAAATGACTGCTTTCATGTTTGAGCTGCAGAATAGTAACTCTTCATATGCCGTGTTCTGGTTCCTATTTAAGTGACAGTGACTGCCACCAACTCAGCATTGACTTAGATGCATGAGGTAACTGAATTTGAATGTGAGAGAAGGTATGAGATCAAGCAGTCTTGCCCAACCTCCTGGTGGATGTGTATGACTATTCCCCCCTTATCCCTGGAAGTGATCACTTATTGTTAAAAGGAGCCAAATGACCGAATGACATTTTATTTTATGTAATCCTGAACTCTTTCCTTTAGGAAATTTCCTTTAGGAAAAGAACAGCAAACATAAAATTGGGATTATATTTATATATTGATTCACCTGTTCAAAAAATATTTGTTAAGCACCCACAACTTTTGCTTGTTCTTTCCCATGCACAATTAAAAATAAAAAGCTGACCCTTCAAATTTTCATGGGAGGGAATGTTCTAGAATTTATATAGTATATTGTATTTCTCCCCTTGTGATGTGAAGGCATTACATTTCCTAGAGTTGAGAAGCACCTCTTTCTCTCTCTCTTTCTTTTTCCTTTTTTGGTATTTCCTTGAGTCATGGTCTGGAGATGCTGATCTTTTCTAGGTACTATGTCAGGAAAATCGCAGGTTGGGGTGGGAATTCATGTGGTGCTCTTGAGAGCAGAAGGCCAGGCATCTGACACAGATAACTATGCATGTGTTCTTCCTTTTTCTCTATTATTCCTGTCACAAATCAGACTCCCAAAGATGCTTACAGAGAGTAAAGCAGGAATATATATAAGGAATGCACTCTACTCTTCCAAAGAGTAAAAAGGGAAAGAGAATGTAAATGGCTGAGGAATAGTCTTCATAGGTTTATGTGAGTAGGACTGGTTTCTGTCTTTGTTCATTTATTCATTCATTCAGTCTCACCAACATGTGTCGGGAGTTACTGAAAGTCAGGCTCGGAGACAGACACTGGGGAAAGAGGGGAGAATAAGAGATGCTGTTCTTGGACTCAAGGAGCTGTCACTCTAGTGGAGAGAAGAATTCAAAGACTGTTCACCTAACATCATGATAGAAGAGGTGATCAGAGGGAATCCAGAAGTAAAGTGATTTGTGACAATGTTTGGGAGAAGAGAACCCTTATCTAGAGCAGGTTTTAAACTAAGGCAGAGAGCTTAGAAAGGGAAATTCACTTTGTTGACGTTGGTTTTTTCTAGATTCTAGAAAAAAGGATTAGCAGGATGGGAAGAGTGAAAGAAAAGAGAACTTGAATTAATTTAACAATCTAGTTAGTGACAGGCACACTTTCTGAGTACTACAGGTACCTAGGGGCCCATGCTTCAGAGACCCTGCTCTGACCTTTGCTCCTTCTCTAGCTAACCACTTTGGTCTAATGAAGAGTTCTTGGGGTCCAAGAATGTTATCATCCTACTCATAGTTCCCCTCTATGAGAGGAGTCTGGCCACATTAAATCTCCAAATTCTCAGCCTGAAGGACTCCAATCCACAGCACTGTATCCATAGATCATTCAAATGGTGGCCAAGTGGCAAGTGTTTTCAGGAGATTTGGACAGGCTTGGAAGGGAGGCCTGGGTGTTGCACAAATGCTGGGAGGCTAAAGTGCAAAAAGAATGGAGCAGGATGGTGGGCATGGTTGTTCAAAAGGGGCGCACACAAATGACGTTGCTTGGACAGTTCTCTTGTGTACTGTGCACATTTCATCTGAGCAATAGCTCCACAAGGTAGGCAGTATTGTCTCTGCTTCTAGTGAATACCCACTACATCAGATAGTAAAGTTGAGCAAGAAATCAACTGGCTGATAAAGTTCAGCCAGGCCAAAGCATTCCTCTGTCTCAGAGAAAGCTTTTCTATCATTTGCCTCCTCTTAGATTCTTTCTTGATGTCCTTTCTTTCAGTTACTGACCAGCCCCTTTCATTTCATGTTTGGAGTGCTCCTTCAGGCCAGACCTCCCCATTCATCACTAATGCCACTGTGTTTTGGTCTTCTTTTCTTCATCTGAACTATTCAGGACCTAAAGCCCCTCTATTAGTTACCGTGATCACTTCTCTTAAACAAAAGTAAGATCAGAGCTTCTCTTTGGTTAGGGATCATGTGTATCTCACTGCCCAGGGTAAAGTTCACACCTTCAACATAGAGCACAAAGCCTCTAGAGTCTATCTTTCTTTTACATTTCTTGTTATTTTTTCTGCAATGTACCGAGTCGTAAGTTCACTCAAGTACTATAAGGCATTGTGCATTGTGTGAATGTGTGGATTGCTCACCTGCTTCCCTGAAACTTGTCAGACTCATCATTGGATTTCCTGAATTTGTGAACAAGTAGCCCACTCCATCCTCCTGACCTGTGAAATTTACATTTGACCCACATAGCTCTTTGGCCCTATGTAGTATTTACAAAAGCCTTTTGCTTGTTTGACTGGTTTCTACTGGGTTCTAAATTCTTCGATGAATATAAAGTTGATGGCTTCATTATTGGCACCAAGTGGCCAATGTAGTTACTCACCAATTTCATGAGAATAAACCATTTCTGTCACTTACAAGCAAAGATACGAAGAAAAGATCAGTGTGTGCAACTAATTAAACCATTTTAAACCTGATTATCCCAAAAACTATATTGAAAGGATTAAAACCAAACCTTAATATATACATTGATTTTATAAGTAAGTAAAGGTCAAAGATACCCATGAAAAATGGTATAAAGGACATGCAGATACTGTGCATAAGAGAATACAGCTTGGAAGCATGCATATGAAATAAAACTTGACCTCACTAACAAATAAATACAATTTAAAATGGATATTTTACAATTGTAAGTGGCTGAAATTGTTCATTCTCACTAAATTGCTGAGTAACTACCTTGGCCACTTGGTGCTAACAACAAAGCCCTCAACTTTATACCCATCAAAGAGGTGTGCACTATATTATTATAAAGTACAATGAGTTTATAACAACAACAACCACCAGAATTGTGTGTGACCTACATGTGCATCAAAGCCAGCCAAGCCCAATTATCTTCGTAAGTATAGAGACCCATTTCCTGTCCTTGTTGCAGTTCAGGTAGTTTATATTTGTAATTCCATGGGCACGTTATTGGAACTCTATCAAGTTAATCCCAATCTACCACTTTCAGTGCAACCCACAGGGAGAATAAAGACACTAAGATATATGTATAATTATGGGGGATCAAGGGATCCTAAGTCTGACCAGGATGAAGTTTCGTCAGAATAAAGACCTTGACTCAGAACCTAACCCGGATTTTATTAATGAAAAAGGGAGTGGCTTGAGGATGAGTGACTGAGAATGCGGGTGACACGAGTACTGTGAGCGGGGCTATGTAGCAGGCCTGAAAGCACCTCTGCAATAGGGAGAGAGAAGGACACACAGAAAGACAAACCTGCTTAATACATTTGAGGTAACATTTAATGTTTAATGGGCAGTACTTCAGCTCTGATGTGCAAACTTTTCTGCCCTGGGAAGTCATAGCCTCTTACCTTGAGATTCAAACCCTGTTGTTACCCTGGAGTGGTGGCTCTACATCCGCCCAGCTCATCCATGTTTTGATGGGAGACACAGGTTGGGGAAACAATGACTGTCACCTAGCTTCAAAGATTACGCATCAGCACCCCAGTTAGCCCTGTTTTACACTGCTCAGAGCCAACAGAAGGGAAAAGGAAATGGTGTAGCCAGCTATGCACATAGCAGTACATGGAGACAGGGTCAGCTTTAGCCAAAATGGAGATAACTGCTCTTTGTTCAAGGAGAGTTGTCCAGGTGGTCCTTCACACATAAGCTCCCTTCATAAAGTTTTTGGTGTATTACCACTGGAGTTACAGCAACTTCTCTGGAGGATAGCATAGCAGCACTTGTCAAAGAGCCTTACAAATGTCAATGCATTTGATCTGAATGAACAAGCTTTTCAGAATACTTAGTAATATAGAAAATTGTGCTACAATGTTACATGATAAACTACAATAATAAAACTTGGTGAAGTATTTTCTCCACACGTAGAAAATTAAATATAAATATATATACATATATTTCCATTTTCTAGATATACTGACTATAGACATATATTTCCCTTTCTGTATACATTCTAGTTTTACATTTATTAGATGGCTCTCCAAATGTTGAAAAGCATAACAGAAAATTCTCAAAAAGAAGGTGATTGATGATTCCCTTGTTTTGTGTGATTTTACTACTATAATTCAGCATTGTATTGGATTGTAGCATTACATTACATTTTTGGATTGTTGATATCCAAGTTTTTGTTAATCATCCTCCTTGGCTTCATGTCTTTGACAAATGTAGAATCCTGTCTCCTCAAGTCTCATTCCAGTCTCTTGTAAACACAGTGCAGGGCACTGGCAGCTTCATTTCTAGTACCCAACCCATCTCATGCCCTTCAGATGGATCTGATGGGCAGCGAGACAAACAAAGAAGGAAAATTCAATATCACCAGAACTTGCTGTGAAATAGAGTCAGAATTGTTGGTAACTAATAACTGAACTTTCAAAATTGGAAATTGGTACAGAAAAAGAATAGGGAATGCCTCATAGAATGGGTCCTCTTTAGACCCTGGTGCTTGTGTTTGTTGCTCAGCTTATGTGATATAAATAATATTCCTGAAAACACATGTTGCACCATCACCACAGACAGTGCTTAGTGGATTCATTATCTGTGCTTAGAGTCTTGTACATTTACTTCAGTTAATCTTCAGCACAATACAGAGGTATTGTTAGGTCACCCAATTGCCTAGGTCACACAACTATCAATGCTAGAGTTGCATTTTGAACTCTAAAAGTTTGGGCTGTTAAATAGTACAACTCAACCTCATTTTAGTTATAGTATATTATGTCCAACTTTTAACTTCTGTGATATTGTTTATTTTCTGCAGTGGAATGATTAAGTGCTAACTATAATAAGATACATCTTTAGGAAAAATATATTACAATCATACATCTAATTTTAATATATTTTCCTTTTTCCCTAGAAAGAAGAAATTATCAAACTTATATTTGAAATATGTGGTAAGATTTCAGGTGTACTATATGCCATGTTAGTAAGGTAATGAGTTTACTCAGAAGATGCACATTGCATAGCTGCTGAGTAGGTATGAAGTTCCTCTGAAGTCAGAGAGAAACAGCAGAAGCAGTGATGGAGCTTGGAAACCCTAATTTGAGCAAAGGGATTCATATTCCTAGGGTTGTTAGGGAATGAAGGTACCAGGCCACAGTGTGTGAAAACCAGTCTTTTGGAAGCCCTGTACTCATTTGTAGTCAGTGCTATTTACCTAGATTTGGGAAAAAAATGCAACAAAGAAAATACAACTACAAGAGCCCAATTGGTATCTGAGTCCAGTCTAGTTGTACTGATTATGCTGATTACGAGGTCTGTGTTTTTTTCTGAAGCCAAGGAATCTTTCTGATTTGAGTTTTGAGCACAATTTCTAGACCTGTCCTTGATCACCAAGGTAGGAGGACATTCAAGTGTTCATCTTGTCTCACAACTATACATAAATGATTCCCTGGATGAACATTTAAGACTAAAAAATAGTTACCAGTGAGAGGAAGTAAAAAGAGAGAGACAGAGATGAGACAAAAGGAACAGATTAATAGGATAATGATGAGAGAAACACCTGCGCTTAGAGAGAGACAGGAATATTATTATCTTTCCATGAAGTCAACTGGCTTGTTCCCTAAAATACTTTTAGACCTCAGAACCAGTCTGTGACTCTATAGTGTTAGCTTGAATGTGGTTTCTGAGTTCTGGGTGTCCTGTGAAAATAGCTCTCATATTCCTGATGCTTCTCTGTGATAGGATTGTCGGGCAACATGAGAATATAAAAAAAGAAATTGAGCCTTGGTAATTTTTATGTTCTGTGGATTCTGGAAACTGCATTGAATGATTGCTTAATTATCTGAATGTAGATTGTTTATTGACAGTATTCTCTCAGATCATGCCCCTCTAAAGATTCTGTAGTACAGATGGACTACTGGCCTCTTTCATAACATGAAAGCCAATGTGTCAGTATGAGTATCAGACTAAACTAGAATACTTAGGAGAGTTATTCTTGTGTACTGTTTAAGGCCCCAAAGCTTCCCCACAATTAAAAATTTTCATCCCATTACTTCATCCATTGGGCATGCTAGCAATCAAATCTCTGTTTTCAAATAAGCATGTGGTTGAAGGCTGAAATATCAGCTTTCAGATTAAACACAAACGGAAGAATGAAGACCAAATTTAGGGCAGTGTGTAGTTGGGGGAGGGAGAGGAATATAATTGGGAAGGCATACATAAGGCATGCTGACTTTTAAAAAGTATTTTGTTTAACTTAAGGAATGGACACATAAATGTTTATTTTCATCTGCAATTCTTTTTCTTTCCTTTAAAAATACATGCTTTTTGAAAAACAGCCAAATATAGAAACCAGAACGTAGGCAGTTTTCAGTGGTTTCCAGAGTCTCAGAAAAGGAATTCAGGGCTACCCTCACCCTTCCTGCCCCTCCCCTCCAGTGTGGCACAGTCTGGGATTCTTTTTTTCTTTTCATTCCTGCAATGTTTCCATCTCCATATTCATCTTTTAGGTTGTGGGCCTAGATGCCAAGAGACTCCGCTGGAGTTGGTGTTTGTGATTGACAGTTCCGAGAGTGTGGGACTAGAGAACTTCCAGATCATCCAGAATTTTGTGAAGACTCTGGCTGACCGGGTTGCCCTGGATCTTGCCACAGCTCGCATAGGCATCATCAATTACAGCCATAAAGTGGAGATGGTGGCCAATTTGAAGCAGTTCTCCAGCAAGGATGACTTCAAGCTGGCTGTAGACAACATGCAGTATCTGGGGGAAGGCACTTATACAGCCACTGCTCTTCAAGCAGCCAACGACATGTTCAAGGACGCAAGGCCGGGTGTAAAGAAGGTAGCTTTGGTCATCACTGATGGACAGACAGATTCCCGAGATAAAAAGAAACTAACAGAAGTGGTGAAAGATGCTAATGATACCAATGTGGAGAGATTTGTGATTGGAGTAGTGAAGAAAAATGACCCCAATTTTGAAATATTCTACAAGGAAATGAGGGTCATTGCTACTGATCGAGACCATGTGTATCTGTTCGATGATTTCCTTACCCTGCAAGGTAAGACTGCCCCTGGACAAAGGGCTTTGTTTTTCTAAGCTTTGCATCACTAGATTGTCCTGAACAAAAATAGAAATCAGGAGATTAATGAGGCTTATCATGACAATATTAAATTGTAACTCACAAACTACGGAAGGCAGTGAAGTTTTGTACCATCTAGTTTGGCAAGATAATTCTTTGTTTTATTCATGTGTCATAAAGGTGAGTTGACATTGGACCTTTTAAACTGAATTATATCAACAGACAGGAACAAAGAGTTTTCAAGATTTGGCGATAATGGTTGATTGGTTAATGTTCAGAAAATTACCTAGCTAGAAGAAGGGATAGAGCAAACCAACAGCAAGGAAGAAAACAAGTATAAAATCAAAATGAAGTTAAAAAAAACCTGATGAGTGATAAAGTTATAATAAACTAAAGTGAGGAGAGGCCCAAGTAGCTGGGTTTAGTTAAAGGACATGTTCTGGCCTTTGGTTTAATGAAAACTGACTGATGTCAGGGTTTCATCTTAACAGCCTCTTGGATACACATAGTAATGCAAATCTGATGGCTTCCCTCTGCTATGTTCACTCTTTCACGTTAACTACTATTTACTAATGAGGCAACTTAAGGCATTGACTCATCTGTGGTAGGGTCTGTATTATTTTACAATGGAATATATTCCAATATTTTGGAAACCGATGACTCACTCTGGTAGGACCATCTGTGTAAGTTTGTTAAGTAAGTGAAAGTTATGCTAACATGGCTGCAGGCTTCAGTTTGCCATCAACATCCTTCCTCTAACATTCCCCTGGGAGCAGGGTTTTTACAGTTGGGCAAAGACCTTCAGTGCTCCCATGCCTTGTCTATTCTGGGTGCCAACACCACCAGCCCAAGGATCAGCTTTCCAGGCTTAGAGAGCTTTCCACTTTCTCTTTCCTTCCTTCTCTAGAACTTTCTACCATCTCGTGTCTCATTTCCTAAGTACTTCGCTGGGTGGCTGGTGTATTTATCTGATACATTCAATCTTACTGGGTTAATCATTTGTTAGAATAGCCCAAGTCTTACATGTTGCAGAAAATGTTATATGTTAACCATTAACAAACTTTATCATCTTATCTGAACGAATTTGTAATTTTTTACATGAGGAATATATTTTTGAACTGGATGGCCTTTTGCTATCCTAAAACCAGAAGTAATTGCTCATTTTACTTACAGTGAGTGACACTAGACCATTACATAGAGTAATCCTCAGTTAACCAACACTTGGTATAAATAAGCATTTAAGTAACTCTTTTGTCTCTTTATGCCCTTGTGTATTATTAGTTATTTTAGATAACCTCTGATAAATCTATAAAAAATACTTTCTACATTTGTTCACTTTAGCAATTGATCCCATATAATGTGATGTTTCATTTTAAGAATGTTCATCTCTTTAAACATGTTTTAAGTAAAATTTTGTTGTTCCTGCTCTCTCCCTTTCTACTTCTCTTTTAAAGACACCCTGAAGCAAAAGTTGTCTAAAAAAATTTGTGAGGATTTTGAGTCCTATTTTCTTCAAGTTTTTGGTACAGTGTCACTTCGACCTGGGCTTGGGATGTTGGGGGAAGAACTCAATGAATCCTCTCTAGAGCCTACAAAAGAAGTTTCTGAGCCAGTAAGTAACTGTCTTGCTTACCTTTTGGGCATAAAGTGGTATATTCTGTCTGTTTTACCTCAAAGTTCCACTCCCTGCACTGTCACAATCAACTGGGAGATATGCATTTTGACGTCCCTGGCACATTGATCCTAGATTTCCAGGTCTGAAATGACTCTACAGCTCACAAACATGAGTATGTGGTCAAAAAAAAATCCATGTTTGATAATTATTTATTGTTATGGTTTGTGTTGAAATGTCCCCCCCACCCCACAAAGCCTCATGCTGTGATGGGGGGGCAGAACTTTCAAAGGCAGCTGAATCTAGCGTTTGTGACTGGTTCATTGTCTAGTGCTGGGATTGGCAGTGTGAGTGCTGCCCCCACCCTGGGGCATGGAGCCGGTATACACTGTAAGGAAGGGAAGGTAGGGAGCTTTACCCTTTTTGCTCTTTTGCTCTTGTCTCTTGCAGCTGCCACGAGCGGCTGCCCCTTAGCCATGCCATCCTGCCTGAGTATGGACTGAAATCTCCCCAAACTGTAAACTAAATAAGCCTTTCCTTCCTTCATTTTGGGAGTCATGCATTTGTCTCAGCAATGAGAGAAAAGAATTATTGCATTTATTTATTTTAGTACTGGGTATCAAATTCATAACTTCGCACTTGCCAGGAAGGTGCTTATGATGTTGAGCTAAATCCCCAGCCTAATTAATATATTTATTAAATGTTGCAAATAATATATTTGTGTTATACATCTTTCATGACCAAAATAACCATATATATTATGACATATTAACACTACATTGTTTGAATTTGCTCACTTATTGTGCTTTGTAAATTCTTTCATACCAGGCTACAAATCTCCCTCATTCTACTATGCATCTACTTTCTACTTTGTACCTTCTCGAGTCTTTCCAGAGTTTGCACATGTCTGTTTTGCCACTTTCCCACACTCCCAGTCACACTCTTGCTCTTTGAGCTTCCACCTCTGTGCTTAGTGTGGGTAGGAAGGGAGGCTAGATGCACTGGATGCATGGTGAATGCTCAATTGTAGCCTTGGCCACATGACCCTGGAATAATGACCTCCTGAATCAATGCAGACAAATATGACTTCCTCATAGTAAGCTTCTGGGAAGACACTTACTGATTAGATTACAAACAACTAGTAGGTTCCTCACGAGAAAACTCGAGGGCTCCTCAGTTACTTGTGAGTGCTACAGTCTTCCCCATCAGTTTACAGGTAATGCAAATCTAGACTGGATTCTAGGACACATATGGATATCCTTTAGCCAGCAGGCTCACAGTCATGCCCCTATTCTTTAAGTCCAGTAACAACCCTGTACCATCTGTTTCTTTATTTATATGACCTTGTCACCAGTAGCAAGCAAACAGTATTCTAATATCAGGATTCAACTGTCTGACTCATAAGATAAATGTCTCATGGGAAACATCTAAATCAAGAGTTGGATGAGGGTCATTTAGGAATCAGACTTAGGATATCTTCCTAAGGGTACAGACTACAGAGCTCACTAGATTTTTATACCTGTTCAAAAAAGGGAAGAAGGCCTCTAACACTCTCTAATTAAACACTAAGTGACCACAAAATGAATATTTTCAGTTAGTGCAAGTCCACTTATGAATTGCTTGGAAATCAGCACACCTGCTGATTTATTTATTCAATCTGTGCTGTACCAGGATTCAGCACACTCTTTTGGTAAAGTGTCCCATATTGAATATTTTTGCCTTGTGGACCACTCAATTTCCAGTTACTCTGTCTTTGAAGTGCAAAAGTCACCATAGATGTTACTTAAAGGGATGAGTTATGACAGTGTTCTGATAAAGCTTAATCATAAAAAGAGTTGGTAAAGTATGTACTCAGCCTACCAGAGGCTCTGGGTTTGATCCCCAGCACCAAAACAAAACAAAAATTTATTCACAAACACAGATGGAGACTGATACTTGGCCTTCAAGTTTGCCAATCTTGATGTACACTAAGCATTTTAAAGTAAATTGTAGACAATAATATACACTATCTCCTCTTGAGCACGGACTGTCTTGCTTGCTCATGTTTTATCACTGTGCTGCTATATAGATCAATTTATATAATTGGTTGCCTCTTATATATTTAGATATTTCCTGAAGTCTGTACAAAAAAGAATGAGCTCAGGTTTCATCCAGCAAGTTCGTCATGGTTAAACCGAGCCCTTCTCATAATTGCTCAACGACATTTTTGGCTACACTAGCACCAGTGAATTCCAGTACTGAATATTATTTACTGCTCTGCTGTGTGGTACCTTTTGAGACTTGGTTCTTGCTTGAGAGAAGCCCATGATTTGTCAGGGAAATCATTAAGTACAAGAAAAACTGAGGCTTTAAGTATTTTAGCAGAGCTGTGGATGAAATGCAAGAGATGGTGCAATTAATTTCAAGGAGAATAACGTGAACTAACTTTATTTGCTGGGACTAAGGCTAAAAATACGATGCCAGATGTAATGGTTGATACATTTTTTTCAACTTGAGAAGTTTAGATGTTTAACTTAGCAACTGAATAGGAAGCCAGGGACCTCACTTTGTAAGCGTCCTCTTACAAAGGGAACTGAGGAGGAAATTGAGATGGTGTGAGTGCTATATGGGTCCTGGGGAGACTGGTAGCCTGCTTACAATGTAAAGGAGAAAAAGAGGATTGCCTCCCCTCTTTTTGTTCTTGTTGCTTTTGCTGTCTTCTGATGCCTTGATCTGTTGCCTCTGCCATGTCATCCTGCCTTGGAGCCTGCTGATTACCTACTGAAACCTCCACAAACTGTGAGCTAATGAAACCTTTCCTTCCTTAATTTTGAGCATCAGGATATTTTGTCTCAGCAACAAGAGAGAAGTAACCAAGACACGAGGGTAACTTAAACAACAAACATTTATTTCTCACAATTCTAAAGACTGGGGAGTCTGAATTTTTAGAGTTAGCTAAGGTTTACATTCTGGTTTACAGTGAGCTATCTTCTTGCTATGTCCTCATGTGGCCAAGAGACCACTCATCTCTCATATCTTTTTTTAAAGGGGACTAAACCCATTGATGAGGGCTTCCTTCCTAGAACTTAATTACCTTCAAAGTCCTCATCACCAAATGCCATCACACTGGGGATTCAGGTTTCAACATATGAATATTTTAGAGATGCAAACATGTAGTCTCCTGAAACCAAAAGCTTCCCAGGGAAGGTGACATTGACTGACGAACTGACAGTAGCTAGGAGTTTTTCAAAGAACAGGGGACATGTAGGCAAAGAGGGATTATTGATATTTCAAGAAAAGAGGATAGGGCCAGAGATATAGTTCAGTGGCACAGTGCCTGACTAGTAAGCACAAGGTCCTGAGTTTGATTCCTGGTACAAAAAACAAACAAGCAAAGGATAGATTCAATCTAATTGTATCTAAGAGTATGTGTGGCAGAATGGTGAGAGTTAGAGCTAGATTGATAAGGACTGATTATTTGGTTTTGATGTCAAGCGAAGAAACTTGACTTTCATCTGTAGGTCTGCTAGCCAGGAGACAGCAGAGATTGTAAAGCAAGGGTCATATGGTTATGACTGATTCACAGAAAGATGACCTTGATTGCACAGTGTGAAAGGTGACTTGAAAGAGAAAGGGAGGGGGAGGGGCTGGGATATAAGGTGAAAGAATATAAGCCTTATACTAAGCCAGAAGCAGTTGGGATTTTAAAAAGTGATATAGATTGGAAAGCCATTTTACTCAGAGTAGCAGAATTTACTGACTAAATGGATTTAAGACAAGGTCTTACAATGTAGTTCAGACTGCCCTCAAACTTGTGACCATTTTCCTGCCTCGTGTCTCAAATAGGATTATACATATGTTCCACCACTCTTGGCAGTGACTAAACAGACTGGAGATTAGAGAAGGAGAGAGGTTTTTGTAATTATTGTGTTCTGTCTTTGAGACACCCTGGATTGAAACAACATGTACTGAGACAGAGACTGTAAGAGGAAGAATAGGTTTTTAAAGGAAGACGATGTTTAGTTTGTATATTGCAAGGTGCTTAGGGAACAGTCAAGAAAGTTATGATACAGAATGAGGGATAGTAGGATCATAGGTCTCTGGTGTCAGGTCTCTAAAACTCTGATGACCCTGGGACATAAGTGATGCTAAAGATATGGCAGATAAAGTACCATGGTAATGAGATACGGGCGAGGGCATAAGAACAATGCATCCAAAATAGCTTACAAAACCAAGTGCTAACCAGGGAAGCTCAGTGTCAGCTAAGTTTCTCTAGGGGACATTTGAGTCAGGGAGGCTGCTGTGAACTTCAGCTTCTTAGACAGCTTCTTTTGCTGCCAGGACTTCTCATTCTGACTCAGTCTGTAGAAGTGTCAAGGCAAAACTGAATTTTAAACAACTGACTTCCTAATAGATATTTAAACCAAAAAGATATATATGCATTTAAAGTCTCTGAGATAGCCATCTTCCTACGGGGTACTCACATGAATGTAAAAATGCACTTCTATTTCTGTGAGTGCACATCTGCCTTTATTCAATAAGTTTTACTACAGTATCAAGCATTTAAAATAAATTGAATTTGTCAAAGCCTTTAGATTCTTAGGTTGTTCTGGAGGTTACTGTAGGCACTGCCACCAAACAAGAAATGATCTGAGAAATGCTTTCCCTTTTTGTCTCCTTTTCTTTTCTCTGTTGTTCCTTTTATCAGTCCCTTATGATACTTAACTTTGCCCTTCCTGCTTCCTGTTTTTTCTGCCAAAATATGTTGTTAGGAGACAAATCTGCCATCAGTTATATATACCACAATGTGAAATCTAAGTTAGTGGTTTCCACCTCAAAGAAGGACTAACATTTTAAGTATCAAATCTAACTGTGAAATGAGGTGTGATCCTGATTGGGTGAACTTTTAATTATCTGGGAACAGGTGTTTTGGGAAATACGGAAACAGAAATCTCAGGTTTTACTAACTTTGTAATGCTTAGGCAACTTCCTCCTGTGGTTCTTTTATAGGCCAGTCTTGG